GCGGCCGCCGAAAGTAAAAAGGCAGAGGGGCAAGCAACGGACAAGAGGAGAGTCATGTAACGGGCGCCCCGCTGCGGCGAGACGCCGGAGCAGCCGGAGCACACTATACTTTTTTATCTCTCGTGTTGGCGAGGATATACTAAAACGCCACCCCTTCCCCGTTCCTCCGTTTCGGTTTCGTCTGTTTCGTTTCCGCTCAAAATTGTGCGGCAAACTGCCGGGGCTGATTGGTTACAGATTACAGATATTGATACACGGGAACAGCGTCGGAAGATCAAAATGCAAGATGACGACAACGGCGTTGAGAGGATGACACACCGGACGACGGCGGTGCCTCAGTCTGAGCCCTGGGCCTCGGTTCCTCGGAGGCGGCAGCTTCTACTTTGGCTGGGCTACCTCAATGGAGCCTGATGCTTCGACCCCAGTTGACTCCAGTGAGCAACAGCGCCACCATGTTCCTGGGGCTCCTTCATTCACCGATCGAACGGCGTGCCAGATCCCCATGGCTCGCTGCTGACCCGCCCAACCCGCCTCCACGAAATCTGGACTTCTGCGAATCGGACTGCCATCCAGCCCAATACCAACAACCCCTGTCGTCGTCATCTTGCATGTATATACTCATCACATTATTATATTCGCTAGACGCGGCACCGCGGGCCTCGATGGTATGCGGTGAGTCGACTTCAATCAATGAAGCACCTCCTGACCACCCCGTACCATCCCATGAACAACGGCTTGGGGGAGAGATTCAACGGCACAATCAAGAAAATGCTGAGAAGGATGTGTCAGGAGAGGCCCAAGGACTAAGATCAATACCTTCCAGCTCTACTGTTTGCCTACAGAGAAGTTCCACAGTCGAGCCTCAGGTTCTCGCCTTTCGAGTTACTCTACGGCAGAAAAGTGCGAGCGAGGACCTTTGGCTATTCTGAAAAAGATGTGGTCAAACCAAGCTCTCAAGCAAGATCTGAAGACTTCGTACGTACGTGTTGGAGCTAAAAGAAAAACTGGAGTGGAGAACACATGCAAGTAAGCACACACTTGCCTGGAAAAAGCAAGGGCAAGATGCAAAGGCTATTACGACAGAAAGAGCTCTAACCGAAAGATTCAACTGGGATATTAAGCACTTATCCTTCTCCCCACCGACCATAACAAGATGATCATGCAGTGCAAGGGACCCTTTCCTGTAACAGCAAGAAAGAATGAACTAGACTTCGAGATAGAGGTGGGGGGCAAGAAGGAGCTATTTCATATTAACATGTTCAAGAAATATGAAGAAAGGAAAGAAACCCAATAACATCAATCACTTTGCATTGCGGTGGTTAATAAACCAGAAACTGACGAGGACGAACATGAGGCCGAAGACTGCGACATCCCGATGCCAATCTGGACCAGACAGCAAGGGTGGGACGATGTGGTCATAAATAAGAACCTCGATAGCGAGAATATAGGCCAAGTCCGAGAATTACTAAGGACATTCGAAAACATATTTTCTGATGTCCTCGGGAGGGCAAACCTTATGACGTGTGATATTTATTTCACAACAACGCGGCCAATATAGGTGAGGCAGTGCCCAATACCTCTTGCAGTACAGAATGTGGTCGAGGATGAAATCAGCAAAATGCTCGAGCTGGGGGTAATCGAGAAGTGTACATCGTCGCACAACACTCCGGTAGTTATTGTGAAGAAAAAGGATGGATCAAAAAGATCTTGTGTCGACTACAGACGATTGGACGACGCAACAATGACAAATGTAGAGCCAACACCCAGAAGTGACGTGACATTTGCTAAAGCGGGACACAGGAGGTTTTTCGCAAAACTAGATGTAGCTAAGGGCTACTGGCAGATTCCCATGGAAGTCGACGCAAGAGAGAAGATGGCGTTTTCGTCAACAAGTGGGCACTACCAGTTCAGATATCTGCCCTTTGGCCTCAAGGCCGCCTCTGCTACTTTTATGAAGTTGATGCGAAAGGTTCTAGGTGCATATCACTACATTGATTACACTACACAGAAAGGTTCTCAAGATGCATATCACTACATTGATTATATCTTGGTCGCGACGAGCTTGAGGAGGGAGAAGCATGTGGAAACACTCAGGATGATTTTTGAGCGTCTATGCGAAGCCAACATTACGATCAAAACAAAATAAATGTCAGATAGGGTTAAGCGAAATCAGTTTGTTAGGACATAAAATTGGACTGGGGAATATCGCCCCTGACCCAACGATCCTGGAAAGAATCCAAGACGCACCAAGACCGAAAACGAAGCGCCAAGTTCGGTCATTCCTCAGGCTCACGGGATTTTATAGACAGTTCGTAACAACCTACGCAGATATCGCAGGACCGTTAGCGGATCTAACGAAAAAGGGAGCCCGCAATGATATTTAGTGGAGTCAAAGAGAAGAGAAGGGCCTTCACGGAGTTGAAAATTCGACTGGGACAACCTCCTATTCTGCTATCACTGGACCCCGAAAAGGAATTCGTGCTGCGCACGGACGCGTCTGAAGCAAGCTCAGGAGCAGTTTTACTATAGAAGTGAGACGGAATTCTTTACTGGTCACATACGCGAGTAGCAAGCAGAATAGGTGGTTGTACCAGTCGACTTTTCAACTCCGTGAAGGCTCTCCAGAGCCAAAAAAAATAAAGACTAAAACTATCCCCTGCTTGGAGTTTTCGGCGGTCCATGCGCCATAGGGCACACAACTGCCCAGATAACGCCGATGGTCCTGAGGACGTCCCCAGCTGGTCGAGACGCCTTCGTCCCGACAAAGACGTCGTCGGGAAGTTCAGAACTAGTCGGGACATTCTGGTCCTTTCAAAGACGTCTTCAGGACGTTTTCAGGTTCCCTTATTTAGGAAGACCAAAAACGTCTTCTCCCGAATGATTTTCAATAGTACAAGATGTTTCCATGCGGGGAAGTGGACACGAAACCAGAATGAGTACGAAAATAAGAATTCGTTAAAAGATATTTTTACTTAACATCTTAATCGCGGCCGCCGAAGCCACAGGCCTTGGCGGCCGCATTCGTCGTAGCCTCGACATCAGCAGCCAGTAGCATCGGTTTTTCCCGACCGAACAGTGTGTTTCGGGTCCGCGCCGCTCAAAAGCTGTGCGCTCACTACCGAACTCCCCGAGAAATGTTCTGTGCCACCAGATCCTTGGGCTCTAAATCTGCGACCGGACACTCTATGGCCCCGTTGACGCACTGCCAGGCTTTGTAAGTATAGAGGAGGCCATGGTGGGACCTATCTTCTAGAGCAGCTGAGTGTGCGGATCAAGGTGTCTCAGTGCCCTGTTTCTTGCACCTCTTCATTCGTCCGGCTTCAGAAGCATCCAGCGAGCAAAAGAGACACCGGAGACGACACCGCAACTGTGCTCAGAATTTCTCAAGAGCAGCGGATGTTGGTTGCGCAGTTGTGTTTTTCGCTACACGTGTTACTGACAGTATCTGTGCGTATGGTTCACTTGCTCGATATTATTAGTTGAACTACCGTGCATATCAGAAATTTACCCAGAGGCATTGTACATTAAAGATATTTTTTGCGACAAAGAACTCCGTTGTCTCTATTTGGTCTGATCGCTTTTGTCTCCAGCTGGTTGCGCCCGGGTTTGAGCGAACGTTGGTTCTTATCTTTTTGAGTTAAGACATGGAAGTAGAACTCAATGTCTGAAATAAATTTTCAATCACGTTTTAAACTCCATTTTGTTCTATGTTTCCCAGACATTTGGGCGTCTAAACGGTTGAAGGGCTGAGGGGGTCTGAAAGGCTGACGGGGTTTAAAGGCCTGAAGGGTTTTCCAGGGCTGAGGGGTTTGATGGGCTGAAGGGGACCGCAGCACTGTGAGGGTCCCAAAATACATAAGGGCTGGAGTGCTATTTTAAAAGGGCTTTTTGTCTCAGTGCCGTGAAATTAAAGTGGGATAGGCGGAAACGGATGGTCATAGCTGGACGAGGGTTCATCAGTTGATTCATGATACGCCGGAGCTTGCCCCAATGTGACGAGCCCAATGCAGCCAGGATGAGATGCTTCTTCATGCGACAGTCTACTTTGACAGTACACACGTCTACTTTGACAGTACACACGAATACTAAAAACAAAACAGATATAAACCTCACCATAGTAAAGAACTGATGTATCAAAACAACTTCAACTCTTCTCTCTTGTTCTAGATAACACATTTCCTAATTGGCTAGAACAAGGTGCCGTGTACCCGTGTGAGATGGCTGATAGCATCAGCGCCGCCATATGGATGATGCACAGGTGGCGTTTCTGCTAGATTGTGGGGAAGCAAAGAACACCCACACCATAATTTCTTGCCTACTATGTCGAAGCAGGCAATGAGCACACCTCCCTCTACAGCCCACCCTACTGTGATTGACCAGCGCGCAGGAGCTTGTGGTCACAAAATTCTAGTGCAGCATGAGCAACTGCAGCCTACCCCTTATTGTAATACCCCCCTTGGGGACTTTAAAAATAAAGTGATTGAGTGATTTTCGAACTTGCCGCAGTTTTGAGCGCGCTGGCTGGACTGGGCTCAAGCACATGCGGGTTGTGGTTTTTTACAAATCGTGTATTCGCTGCGGTACTGTTGTGTGTAGCATATCCTCAAAACGACCTTACACTTGCCGGTTATCATGAACAACAATCCTGATTGTGTGAAACACACGTCCGCGGAACCGCAGTGGAAGCTCGCCGTCAACGAGTTTTCACCTGATTTATTTTTTAGCGTCAAATTTGCTTTTAGATGCGTAGCATTTGGGGGACATCACTTAGCGCTTCCATAAGATGTACACCCTCGATGGTGAAGTCAGCTGATAAACCAATACGCGTTTTAAGATTTACTGTTACATCATTGCGTGAACACTGGGTGTTCACGTGACGTCATCATCGTGACAGTCGTCATGTGACACCGTAACGTTAGAGAATCTATAAACGCTATGCATTTAAAGCGCATGATTTTTTTCCTTGATTGACGGCTACCTTACGCACAGCTCGCACGTACAGGCTACCGGCAGGGCCGTCATGCCTGCATAATGACGTCACGCGAAGGCCGACAGACTAAACAACAGCAGAAACGCGTCTAGTTTCAGTGTTGCACTGGTTCCTTCAAAAAAGTAACGAAAGTTCGTTCCTCCTCAGTCTTAGAACGAGTTCCCTTTACAAGTTCCAGTGGTTGGAAACGAACTCGTTCCCATAACATTGTTAAGCTTGAACATCTGGTTACGTCAACGTTACATTTGCGCTTTTTAATTAAGTATTGCGCCGGATGATCCATAGATAAAATAGAACGATGGAGTGAAAATATCCCCATCGAACTACCTGTCGAGTCACCAAGGTCCCATTTGTTCTAGTTCTTTGTGACTATCTCTCGGACACTTCTCCATCCGTCGAAGTTGGAGGTTGCAATAATCGATAATGAAAAGAGCTCAAATGCCTACTAAACACGGGTAAGATTGCAGATAAAAGAGAAAAAAAGAAACGCCGTTCAGGCTACAGCCATTTCGTCGACTACGTAACAAGTTCCACCGATGCAAGATGGAGCGGCGGCGTTCCTTCGTTCCCCCTAAAAGGAACGCGTTCGAGGAACGTCGTTCCGCACTAAAACACTACGCCTATTTAAGAACAGAGCTCGCTCACCTCGGACCGGCTTGCTTTGGACAAGTTAGGCCTCTCTTTCTCCCCCTTGGAATGATGCATCTTGGAGCGACACGGCGAACCAGGCCGACCGGACGTGGGCACCAGGAGATTCTACCTACGCAGCAAACGTGCTCTTCGTCTTCGATCGACGATGACGATGATTGCGTTCATCGTGCATTCGACCGGCGCTCAGGGTGAGCAGGCGCAGAAACTTTTGCGTGCACATTGACAAGCACACCGTCCAAGGCGCGCGAGCGCCTTGGACGGTGTGCTTGTCAATGTCAATACAGATCAGCCAATCGCTGTGCGAATGGCTGATCTGTCAATGTCAATACAGATCAGCCAATCGCTGTGCGAAGTTTGGTCAATGCATACATACGACCAAACTTCGCACAGCGATTGGCTGATCTGTATTTGATGCCATGGAAATCAGTCCTTTGAAATCTTCGAAAGAGTTGTTCTGGACCAGCCGCGCCAAGATAACTATGGAGCATCATCTTTTGGAAAGCGTTCCTCGCCAATATAAGCGCCTTTAATATGCAATCAGCTTATCACTCACGCTTATATGCACAGATCCTTTACAGCGATATCGGTCTTTTTGCGAAATTCCAGCCAGGACCCTTGCTTGTCAGCGCATTACCCAAGCGCCGACGCCGTGCGCGCTGCGAAGATGCGCGCTTGTTTCACCGGTGTGCGGCTAACAAAACCTGGGTATACAAGAAATCTCTTTACACCCGCAGCAATCTTTCACACCGAATGGGGATGGGCTCACCAAGGCTGAAGAGGTTAAGGAAAAATCTCATTCCATGGACCAAAATGGCGATCATACGGGGACTTTGTTGATACTTTCCTAAGATCCAGTGACTCTCCCCCAACTATGGTGCCCGGAACGCGTCTCCGACTGGTGTGTTTAGCGTCCTATCCCGCCCATACATCAAAAGTGGTTCCAAAGTGGCAACAAATGACGTCACAGAAGCCGGAGTGTCATGCTGTCGGATGTCGCGATCCTGGCGGTTGGTCGTAGAAATGCTGGCAAAAACCACAGGCGAACGCGAATGTCGCTGTCGTCACGGCGCTCCAGGCGTCCCAACTTCCGGCTGCACGTCGCTCTCCGGATTGGAGAGCGACGTGCAACAGAACAGGCGTCTGCCACATACACCACAGCTATTCGGACGCCGCCAGGTTCGCGACCGGCGACAGCATGACACTTCTATGACGTCATCAGGCGGAAATCGAGGTACCACTTTTTTGGACCCGGTAAACACACCAATCGGAGACGCGTTCCAGGCACCGTACCTCGACTGCATATGTGAGCGGCGTTTGGCAACTTCCGCTTCGTTAGGAAATTTTGTTTAGCTGCTGGCAAACGACGACGACGATCTGCAAGCCTGTAAAGCTGGTTTCACATGCAGCGATTCCGCGGCCGAAATCGCTGCCGCTAGCGGCGCGGCGGCACGGATCGCGAGGTTTCATTTCACTTCAGCCTCTGTCGCACTTACTATCAGGTTCACAACTGCCTCTCCGCCCAGCAGCACAGAACGCAGTAGCTCACTGGATAAAACACACACTAACACTTGCGGGCATTGACACGTCGGTTTTCAACAGACTTGTGCTCGTTACTTGAAAAATGTAATGGATTACAATTACAACTTACCGAGCCTTAAATGTAATGGATTACAGTTACAAATTACTTTCGCTAGAAAATAACGGATTACTTTACTCGTTACGTTACAAATTACTTTCACGTTACTTTTTTTTCCGTACACTTATTAAAAAAATAATACAAACAATTTTGATATTTTTCAAAGATGTTCTGCAACGCTACCTTTCCTTTTTCATACGCCCGTATAGGGTAGCCCTTGTAAAAATAAAATATTGTATTTAAGAGACAGAGTGTAGGTGCACTTCGTTCGCCTGTAAGCTGACAAGGCACCGAAAGCTGCAACGCCACCCGCCATCCCACTAGCTTACGGCCTCCGGAAATGATCCCTGGAATTGTGCAGACAAAGCTAGCGGTGCGCATGCTCAGTAGCAGCGTCTACCCCCGCTACGAGATTTGGAGCTAAAGAAGCGATCTACGATATCGCCCTTTTGACTCGGCTGTTTCGCCTGTTGTTCACAAGAAAAACTTGGTTTTGGCATTATAATGTATAGCCAATGCAGAATGCAGGTGTCCCAGCTTACCTTCATGTGTTTCCGTAGATTAGAGTTTGTTGTTCTTGCTGATGACAATATGTTATTTTTTTGGCAAGCAAAGTATGCACTGAAACTCTAGGTTTTCGTTCTTCTTAATGCCCTAAATTTTGAACATCTCATTAAGAGATGGCCATGGAGACGACGGACACTCCGTAACCGAAACTCGACCAGTCAGAGAAAAAGTGGCGGTTACGGGTTATCGATCGTTCATCGGTTCTCACTTTCATACCAATATTCGTGGAGGCCAAGCGAGGGGACGGCATAGAGAGCGAGAGAAGCGGTAAATCTTACCACTTTTAAGCCATCTTTCACTCTCTCTGTCAGCGCTCCTTAGATGGCCTAACCCCCCCCCCCCCCCCCCCTTTTTTTATGCTGATAGTTGACTGTAACGTGAGGAGTGGACTCGACCAACATGCCCAGACAAGCAAACCAAAAGAAGTATCGTCCGTACCCTCAAGACTACGCCCTTAGCTTCGCGCCGGGCGCTTTTCAGCCGCGGCTCAGGAATGTGCTAGATCATCAAAGACAAAGAAAATTCGACCCCCTCGAGCGAGGCTAGATCGTCTGTTACTCGAGTTGTGAACCCGCGAATAGAGGGGGTACGGACCCGCGTTTGATATCTGTGCAGGTGGCGGGAGACGTCGAAGAAGTTAGGAAAAGTGAAACGGTCTAAAAGACAAAAACAATTAAACACGACGACCTTTTGCCTCCCCGGGAGAAGAAAAACACTAAAGAAGGCGACAGAGAGCCTACTCAGCGTTGTCTCACTTGATCTTTGTCTTTTGTATACGTGTACATGCCTTGCTCGTTTTTCTAGTGGTTCTAGTGACCGGTCATACAAAAAACACTTTGTTTTCTTTTCAGCTATTCTCCCCTTCCTGATGTTTTCTATTTTGTTAATCTTGCTCTCTTTATGCTGCTGAATGTTCTGCTCGTATTGCTCCAGTTACTGTATTAAGCTCATATTTTTAAAAAGTGACGAGTAATGAAAGTAATCCGTTACCAATATTTTGTAACGAAATTACATTACAAATTACTTCCGAAAAAAGTAACGTGGGAGATTACAAAATTACTGGAAAAAGTAACGGATTACAAGTAATCCGTTACTTGTAACGGATTACTTCCCATGTCTGGTTTTCAGAGCGCACTCAACGCGAGGAGCAGCCACCTCCAAAGCTGTAGAGGTGGGAGTACCATAATTACGAACCAGCGCACAGGTAGACAGTTACTCAAAATCCAAACACACAGAAATATGCACTCACACAGCGCTGAACTATCAACTGCTTTGCATTTCAAATTTCCTCTTCTTCGACCCCAAAGAATAGGTTGCCAAGGAAAAAAAGGGGAAAGACAAGGCAAAGGGAGGAAAGGCTAAAGAAAAAGAAAGAAAAACAGAGATGAATAGAAAATGGAAAATAGAACACAAAGAAAAGGGAAAAATGGCTAATACAGCCGAGTCCAAGAGTTACAAAAATTACAAAAATATTTACAGAATTACGAAAATAATTCCTGGAGAAGGGGAACAAGAGGGACAAAGAACAAACAAAAATCTCCAAATACGGTTAGGTGACTGGTGAGCGACCGGAAAAAATCCGGGTATCGAACCCGAGACCTCTCCACTACAGGCGAAGCGTTCTACCAACTGAGCTAACCAAGGGTTGTTTTTTTGTTGTTTTTTGTTTTTTTCAGAAACATTTATTTACATTTAATGATTTTTACACGATGATAATTTGCGTTAGATTATATACAAGCAATGAATTATGGTGGGTGATGTAGCGAAGTTGAATACAAGGAACATTTAACAAAGTTCTCAAAACGAGCACTCATCGCAAAATACTTTACGAGGAGGTATCACTTAAACTTTCATTTGGCTTGACCTCTTCAACGCATGACATCATAGCCTATATAATATGAGGCGAACGACTCAGGTTCTTTACTATTAATTTCCATTCATCACTTTCATTACAGGTGGCCAATATGCCTTGGCCTACCTGAATTGCAATATTTTTTTAAATTAACCCAGGATGGCTTCGCAACACCTGCTTCTGTGTCTGTTTTGCGCGTTTTCCACAGGCTGTAAAGACCTAGTACTACTAATATATCTTGAACAGTGTCAAGGTGGTCGGTGAAATGCAAATACCTAAAGTTTGCCTCTTCCACTTCAAAATCCTTTCCGAGTGTTCTCTTGAAG